TTTTTTTTTTTTTTTGGTTGGATTCAAACCCACCAGCTCTGATGTATGTGGCTGCCGCCTTAGCCATTTGAGCTACAGGCACTGAGCCCAAAATTCCTGTTCTTAACAAGCTTTTAATTTAGTGGCAGTTGAATGAATGCATCAGTTTATACTATGAGTCTGGGCTAGAAATAGAAATGTGGAATCCCTTCATACAAAGATAGAATTTGGGCATGTAGATGAAGTAGGCTTAAGAGATAAGAAGAGGGCCCGGGCAGCCTTGGGAAATACTAACATGTGGAGGTAGGGGGAAAGGAAGCTTTGAAAGATAAAGGAAGGAAACAAAGAGAATGTGTATAGCTTTTGTTACAGACCATGAACCCCCTTGTCATCAAAGCTAGTGGGCCATTTATTGTGGGATGAACGTCATTTCACAAGGTGAAACACTGTAGACATTCAGTGCTTATTGGCCTCTCTCTTTTTCTCTCTGTTAGGAAATTAGAATACTCAGTAATTATTTTACTGATTATATAGATTATTTACAAGAATGGCTGTTGTATAATTGGCACATTTTTTAACTCTAGGGATTTTTCTCCTCATGCTGTCTTCATTGATTTCTATGTTACATGGAGAGAGCAATGTTTATAGTCAAGATTGGTTTGTTTTGCTTTCTAGTACAAATTGCCTGTACACACAGAGATCAGCTGGAAAGCAGATGGCAAAATCATGGCTCTTGGCAATGAAGATGGGTATGTATTTGTCTCTTGTATAATTGCACATATATTTGATCACAAGCTGGCTAATGCCATCTGTAATGTTAGTTGGGGAAGCTCATTTATGTTTGATATTCTGATTTATCCCTCATATCATTGACTGATCCAAGCACTTTCTGTGTCTTTGAGAACTGTAGAATTATTTGCATATTTTCAGGCCAAAGAGAGTATTTGGCTACTCTGTTTTGGCTATTTTATGCCTCAGAGTGTTCATTTATATCGCACTGCCAAAATCTCACTTCGTTTTTTTAAAGTAAACCTACGCAGAAGTGCTCTTAAGATCTCACTGTGTCTTATCTAGTATTGATAATAACGTAGTCCTAATTCAACCACTGGTTGGTTTATTTATTCTTGTAGCTTCTCCCTGTCCCCATTTATTATGAATGCCTTATAAACACAACTTTCCAGGGATTGTTAGAATTCTTTTTTACATTATTTTAGATCTTCATTAACAGGTGATTATAATTTTTTACTCTTATTGTTTAGGGCTTTTATGGGTTTTTTTGTTATTATTATTGTTTCATATTAATTTGAAGGTACAAAGAATTAGGTTGCATTGTTTGCAGATTTTAGGTAGATCCCCTCTTATAAGTGTGTCTTTCCTCAAAAGGTATGCTGTTCCCCCTAACATTGTGCCCTTTAAATGGGAGCACACCCTTCCCCTCTCCTTTCCCTGCTTCCTAGTTCCCCCACCCCCTACCTTGAATTGCTTTGAGTTTTTCTCTTATGTGAATATTAGATCATCAGGTGACTTCATATTAGAATTGAGTACACTGGATTCTTGCTCCTCCATT